ATCCATATCTTGGGGGGCCAGGCGGTGCAAAAACAAACTTCAGAATCTTCCGGGCCACCAGCGTGAAAGCACGCCCTGCAGAATATCATGAACCAGCTTCAGATAGTCTGCATTGACCAGTACCCCAGCATCCTGCGAGAGTCGTGCAAACCACGTAAGACACGATGCACGCCGCGTTGCGAACTTGCTCCTTTGCCACTGCAGCGGCCGCAGGGGCCTGGCGAACACTCATGATCCGTTTTCAAAGCAAACTCCGTCAGCAACAACAAAATGCCGGCTTCAACTTTACGGTGAAGATGCAAACGTCCGGCTTTGTGGTGGAAAGGCGCCTGGCCTCCATCAGCTGCGGCATCAATTGGATTCAGCTCAGGCTCCCTAATCTAAGTGAAGCTACTAGACAGATCAAGCAGGCTAAGTCCTCCTGATATAAGTATATTTAGTTATTACACAAACTGAACTAATTCGTTTGATTAAGCAAAATGTGGAGTCCCGACCGTCGTCTTGATTTGGTTAAGGAAGTCATTTCGATTGAGTAGATTAAGTGGATGCAGACTCAAACCCACCAACCTAATTGATCAACCAATTTGCTAGTTGGAGTGCAACTGGTCCAGGAAACGCCGCTGGAGAGATGCGAAACCTTTGTTGGGACGACTTTGCGCAACCTTGAGTTGGTCAAGCTATGTGCTGGTCTCAAGGGAAGTGGAACACCATCATCTGTTTGTTGGGGCATGCCCGGTGCTGATTGGGTCTGAACTTCACAAATGCCACTTTCCCTTCAGAACTATCAGCTACGAGTATGTACACTCCCGCGATACAGGAAGCAGGAAGAAGCCAGCAAAAGCACCGCTTCCGCCGGATTTGCATTTACAAGCCTTCCTGCCCATCTTGGGCAGGAGGGGACAAATCGCAGCGTGGCGCATCAGAGTGGCGCTCTATCGCGGCTATCGTCTTGAACTCACTGTTCTGATGCTAGATAGCGCCTGCATCAAGATGAGATCAAATGAAATGCAGGTGTGGACACAACCTGTGGCCTCAATCTGCTGGGATCTGCATCTGCCAGCGGCCCCTTTTAGGCAGCAAGTGAAAGTCCGCATTGATAGGCTACGGAAAGGATGCAAATGTGCAGCAGGCCGCGATTCTGCTGTCGTGCCAAGCCTCATGTCCATCTACCTGTTGTAGGTCAGTGAAGTCCTGCCGATAGGAAATGATGCAAACTGCTCAATACCACGGCACGTCTCGCGGGATCTGGTCCAAGTTCCCAGCAACATTTGCAAGAGCTTCTGCTTTGGTAGTAGCTTGCCTGCTGGCCTGGCCACGCAATCCAAATTATCAACCCATAAGGTAGTTTCCCAAAATAGGGGGACCCCAATATAGACCCCAAAGTACTATAGTCCTTATTATGGGGACCCCCAAAAAGGTACCCCTAATTTTGGGAAACCCCCATAACAACCTGCTGCTCGTCACATCTTTTACAGCTGGCCTTGCCCAACTCCTCCAATAAAGCCTCTGGTTCATTCCTCAGCATTGCCTTCACCTCAAAACAAACAATTGGGGATACTATGGTACCCAATAATATAGGGTTTAGGGTTTAGGGTTTAGGGCCCTGTAATGGAAAATCAAATGGAAAAGAAAATGGAAAATGAAATGGAAACTGGGATTACATAGGGGATTATAGGGAGTGTAGTATTTTATTCATCAGCATTGCCTTCACCTCAAAAGAAACAAATGGCCAAGCCCGGACAGGATAGCTTGTGGCTCACACCCTATAGGGATAATGGAAAAGAAAATGGAAGCTACAGGGATTACAGGGATACCTAAGGGTTGTATACGGGTTATATAAGGGTTATATAGGGATAATGGAAAAGAACATGAGCCATAGTCTAAACTCCTAGTATCCCCCTTAATAACCCCTATAGTAGTCCCCTATATTACCCCCTATATAACCCCCCTTTAAGGAGTTCAGACTACAGCTCACATGGAAACTACTATGGTTATTATAGCAGCCAACAGGGCCTCCTTGAAAGTCTGCTCGCTGTCCCTGCAGATGCAAGCTGTGCTTGGGCTCTACTAGGGTTTAGGGTTTAGGGTTTAGGGTTAACCCTAAACCCTAAACCCTAAACCCACACTCTGACCTACTCTGGGGCATTTGGACTTCCAACTCTACTCTCAGTGCTACATAGGGGTTTCCCAAATTAACCCCATTATGGTAGTTTCCATTTTCTTTTCCACTATCCCAATATTACCTCAATATAACCTATCGTTACTCTTACTATTATTTTAGTCGAAGTGGCCAAGGCTCTACTTCAACGAGGCTGGGTGCAGTTCTGATCTTAACAGGTACGGCCCACCTGATCGTACGCTTCTGCGTCCGCCATCTGCTATAGAAATGATATACTCCTTGGGACACTCACACACATGACATGCAGGAGGCATTCATGCAAGGCTGAGCTATGCGCCACCACTGAACATCTCGCAGGTGATCTCAACAATCGAGAGAACCTCCCAAGAAGCTCTGAACCCAGACTGCACTACGGAGCGCACTAGCAGACTACTGGCAGAAATCCAAAAACGATCCCTCTCGCCCCATAGCCCCCAACCGTCCCGCAGCAACCCTTTTAGCATGCCCACTTGCAGCAGTGTAAGACTGCATGACTTGTCGTGAACTCAGGCCAGCAAAAGCCTCCTTGTTGTCGCTGCCAATAATGCTTGACAGGCTTCCAGCTGTCAGTTCGTCCATAACCATCTTGGTGATATTGATGGCTACTGCAGCCAACGGGAAATTCTGCTGGTCGTCCTGCACTTACACTGGGCATGCAGACTGCCCTCATGTACCCCAAGGAGAGCAGAAGCTTGTTTCGAATGCCAGTCGGTGCTGTCGCATTGCAAGGTGCAAAGAACAGTAGACAGCATTATTCTGCTAAGTCCCTGTGGAAAAAAGACGGCCAAATACCAAGAATAAGAGCGCTGGCCGCCTTTCTAATACTCTAGCATGAGCACGGACCCTCTCAGCTGATCGCAAGGTCCAGAAGCCCAGGGCTTGGCTTGACATGCAGTAGCTTGGTTCCAGCCGTACGAGTACGAAGGGTATGTGGTATTTGGTATTTAGCTGTAAACTAACGGTGGGGCATTCTGAGCCCAAAAGCACCCAGACTGAGCTTCTGGCCCAAGCGAGAAAGAAGAGTTCAAGCCAGAGATAGCCAGAGAAGAAAGCAGGGAGAAGACTTTCGAGAAGACTTCTCTCGCACAGAATCACCAAGTCAACAGGTCCTTACTGCAAACCCTCAACAATAGGCCCTACACCCTTGCCAGTAAATAGAACTGAAATTTGCTAGACACAGGCAAGACGGACAACCGGACTCAATGTCCTTCTAGTTGTCGCTTGAGATGCTGTGATAACAACGACCCTCATCGGTCCTGAGAGAGCAGATAAGCAGCCTTGTAGATTTCGAAGAAGTGCGAGAAACAGAAGAACATGTGGACGACCTCAGCCGTGGAGCTCTGTGAGCTTTTTGTAAGAAAGCATCATCCAGAAGCGCGAGCAACTCGGTCGCTTGCATTCAGCAATCCACCCGACCGGTTCAGGTCCGTCGTTGGATCCGTGCCCTGAAACCCGAGGACCTTTGAGGATTGGATTGCGTGAGTCAGCATTCGGCAAACTCGTTGACTGGTCTGCCCAACCTCCCAGTGACTGCCGATACGAGGGCAGACCTGGCGGATCAAACTGGGTCGCATGTGTCAGGATGAGTGTGCATCCAGGCTGCCTTGCACCGTGCGAGCTTGCTGTACATGGTGTGCAGCATTCGGTAGTGTGTTTTGTCGTTGAAATCGAACCTGACAATGCTAGAAGCTGAAGTTCTCCAATCTCCCAGTTGAAGCCAGATTAAGTTTCTGACATCGTTGCTTTCAGCTTGAAGACAAAGTCCTGGCAGGCATGCTTCCATCAGTCAAGAGATAAGCACGGGAGAATTTCAGAGCCTTTTGCTTGCAAGCTTGTGACTTCACACTAGCCTAACTTGCAGTTCAAGCTCCACCTGCTCCAGCGTTCTTGGTGCATCTTTGCATGGCGCGCTGTCTGCTAGCCATGACTGAACCTGCTCCAGGTCGAATAATTCCCCACTGATCCTCCAAAACAACACGTTCTGCCCTGCCGACGTTGCCTCCTTGTAGGATATGGGCTTGCTGAGAGCCTTTGTACCCAGCACAATGTTTGCACCAGGATCTTTATCACAGCTTCTGGATGCTGGAGAAAGCACGTCCTGCTGCACCGCAACCTTGCCCTTGGTTTCCCTTGCCTTGCATGAGCCAATGATTGCTTTGCACGAGCTCCATGTGGTTCGTAGGTAGGTGTGCCTCTTTGGCAAGCTCCTCAGTTCGCAGGGCAATTTCTTCCCACTCCTTCTCAACTTCAGCATCGGAGGGATCATGGCCTCAGTGATGAACTTCGAGCAACTATACGCCAGCAACACACTGCAAAAGATGAGAACGATTCCAGGCGTCGTGCTCATCTCAGTGTCAGCGTGCGGCATGCCTTCCTGCACCGGGCGCGCCTTGATGGAGGAGGTGAGCGGCTTGGCGCGCGCATGCGCGCGCATGGAGTTCGTGTTTTGATCGCAGCAGAGAAGCACTGCAGCACTGCGTCTTACACGTATACCACTGCCAGCCCTGACGACATGGTAACACGGTGCACTCAGCGTTCCTAGGCTACGCAGTAACTTGACCAAAGTCCTGAAACTCAGGCAGACAAAGTACAGTATTATGAAGGCCCGTGAGCACTAGGCCAGAGTCCTGACTGGGCCTGCTGCAGCTTCGACTGCAGAGCTTTGCTTCGACTTGGGGCTTTCGGAGGCCTAGAGCGGGGTCCACAGCTGCCGCAAAGGCACACATCATGTAGTCAATTTGAACAGGACCAGCAGCTCACTTGACTATGGTATGCTTGAAGCGAGCTCCCTTCCGCATCAAACAGCTATCAGTAGCATAGACCCATCGCATCCATCGCAGTGCCATGAGACATCGGCCTCCGTGCTGCGGCATGGTTCTTCGCTCTTTTTGTGCATGGCCTGCCCAGTTTACTGGTAAGATCAAAAGAAATCTGGTCATCTGCATCTCGACGGCCTTCCCAGAGACATCACTGCCCACCACGATACAGCCACGCCTGAGAGATCATGAATTGAGTCATTGATGTTTCAACACTGCCTGATGCAGATCTGAAGCGAACAGATATCAGATCTCACTCGTTATCTTCATGACTGATTCATGAAGGTGTACTCGCTGCAACATGGCGGTTATCGTTATTCTGTTCTCTGGGAACCGACCAGCATCGCAAAAACCCTGTATTGGTTTCTAAGACCTGTCGCCACCTTTCACGAACCCATGTAAAATTTGTGGGCTCCACAACCCGCTCGCCATTGTTACTTACTGGTTCTGAACTCTCAATGCAGCCACCTTATTAAATGAGCTTGAATAAGCTTGACAATGGGCCAGGGTTCACCCGCGGTGTAGACCCATCGCTGGAGTATGGCACACCCCGAGTCAAGAAGATACCACAAATTCTGGGGATGCTGGCACAGGCGAGGTGGCCGATCCCGCTCCTGCGGCAGCCTGAGTGCGGGCAGGCTTGTACTGGGTTGCTGCTGAGAAACTTGAATTAATTTACCATAGTATGGGCATGTACTTGTAGTAAACAAGAGAGATTCCCTCATCACAGTAACTTAGTTTAAGTTCCTGAACAGCAACCCAGTGTACCCGGCACACCGTCTTTAGACAACCCCCTACATAATTAGACAACCCCCTAGATAATCCCTATACCCTCCATAATCCCTATATCATCCATATATAGTTCCTATATAGCCCCTATATAGCCCTCTTAACACGCTTTCTCAGGCTCAGAGCTGCACCCTGGCTGTTCTTCTCTCAGGCTGGGCCAGGGACGGCCTGGCCATGTTTTCAGGTCTCTCAACCTTAACCCACGTTCCGCTCGACAAGTGAGCTATAGCCTGAACTCCTTAAGGGGGTTATGTAGGGGAGTATTATAGTGATTGAGGAAGATTCTAGGAGTTTAGACTATAGCTCTAATGAGGCATGTCTAGTCATCCGAACTTACAAAAGCCGTCGCCTGACATGCCCTGAGCAGGCCATCAACAGCAAAGCTACAGTTCTAGAAGTGCGTGTTGCCTGCGGGTAGAGCTTTCCGTAGACGTCTTTGTCCCCTGAAGTTTGGCACAAACACGGACAAGGGCAGTCATTGTCTTTCGATGATGTTATTGCAGATCTTGTCAGCAAACCCATCAAACACTGCATGCGCATGCAGACCGCCTCAAAATGTTGCGCAGCGATTTAAAGTAGGGTATACGGTATATAAGGTAAGGTAAGGACTCTTCAGGTCAAAGGGTCCATGAAACTCTGCATGTGGTGGGTTGGGGACAGGTACCAGGGCTCTGAATACAAACTACGAATGAGGGATGAGGGTGGCAAGCCTCAGGCACAACTTATACATGTGCGCAGATAGGACAATTCCCCAAATAGGGGCACCCCCGACATAGACCACAAAACACGATAAACCGTGTTCTAGAGACCCCCGAAAAGGTACCCCTAATCTTGGGAAGGTCCCATATAGATCGCAGCTTCAGCTTGTTGTCCACATATTCAGGAGCACTTCTCTGAACGTCCTGTCCGCAACAGTGAAACATCTTCTGCTTCCAGCGCTGAAGCGTACTTTTCTCCGGGAGAGGGAGAAAGAAATCCCCCCAAAAGAGAGCATGACTCCCTCCACTGCCTGTCTCATCATCAGTCAGAGAACCAGACATGTTGACTGGCTTCTGATGTTGCGCACCGCGCACTGTCATTGCTGCAGAGAAATCAATGCGAAACGGTTTGCCGGTAGAAGACTTCAGTGTCCAGCGCTTGGTAAGCACTGCAGACAAACCTGTATCCTCCGAGGACGCCACAGATTTAGACTGCTCTCGTCCAGCTGCTTTTGAAATGACTCCAGGGTCAACAGCCAGCTGAAGCAAAGCTTGGTGCACCTCTTCTTCGTCTGGGGGTGCAGACGCATCACGGGGCTCAGCGATACGCTCCGCCACAAGCACCGTTTCCTTGTCGTTTCGCTGCGCCTTTCGTGCAATGACTTGCTGGGAGTTGTCTTTAGGACTCCTTGCGCTTTCATCTTTGTTTGCCCTGGCGGAGGTGGCTGCAGTCTTTGTCTCGGCCTGCGGGCTGTCCCTGGCCTTTCTTATGAAAGAATCCTCGGTGGACTCCATGCGCTTCTGACGCTGAATCTCTCTCCAGGCCTCCCATTCCTTGAAGCTGGGAGGCGCACGAGTTATGTGGCGTGAAATCTGATAGGTATCATCGTTCGGCTGCTTCCTGGACCGCTCTTCCAAGTTGTTCAAGTCCACCACATCTGCCAAAGCGTTGGGCTCACCTGTGTTACAGGAGCGCCTAGGAGTCTGCGTGGTGATCACAATGTTTCCTGTGCCATCGTCATTGAGATCCACAGCCACCTTCTGGAGCTGACCACCCGTCTCTTTGATTTCCCGCGGCACGCTTATACGGGACTCACCGAAATCTAGCACCGCTTCGTGATCCTGAGGCGCTCTCCGCATCACGGCTGTGCCCTTGACCTTGTGTAGCATGATCAGCCTGTCATCTTCTGGCCGCAGGATAGCTTTATGACTGCGCGCCTCCAAGGCTTCTTGGTCTTCATCCTCGCTATCTGAACTGGAGATATCCTCCAACTCCGCCTCTCCTGTGAGAAGGGACGGCAGGCCCTGCTTCTTCATGTTTGCATCTTGGTAGCCGCAGAAGAACATCCCCTTCTCGCGCATGGCATGAAAGTCGCTCTGCGCGGCTTCGGTGTCGACTCCGCAGACCTCCTTGATGCCCTGCATGGACCAACGTCGGCTCAACGCCGCCATGGCTGCAGGAGAAAGTGTGCCTTTTAGCTCCTCATCATCTTTCTCCGTAAGGGTTTGGAGCAGCTTGGTACTGACAGTGTTGTGATCCCTGGAGGCTGTCACCACCTCTCGGAGAGACGCCGTCAGCAGAGATCCCACATTTCCGATTCTGGAGTTCGACGGTGGACTCGGCTTCAGGTTCTGGTTCTTCTCCGCCACTATCGACTCGGCGCGGTCATATTGACGAGCAATCTTCAGCAGGTTTTCTGCCGAGTCATGCCCCTCACGCTGCCTGTGCCGCTCGCGTCCTGCATCTGGACTATACTTTGTCCTGATAGGGCTTTCCCTCAGTGCCCGTCGCGAGCCACGCTTTTCTTCTCTGCCATCCCCCTCAGAAGATTTTGACTTCTCCTCCACGCTCTCGGAAATCTCATCCACAGCCGGTTGTGCTTCTGATATTCGCACACGCGTCGTAGACTCATTGGTTGGTTCCTTGGACGGAGGCGGCTCTTCTCTTGAGGCCTTCTGATGGGTGCTCTCTTCCCGCGCTGGGGTTTCAGTCGACTTCTGCCCAAATACAGTGAATCGGCCTTTCTCAGCAGCACCAGATTGGGAGCTGGCTTGTTTGCGCGCGGCATGATCCCCTTCTTCGCGCCGCATGTTACATCTGAGAACTAAGAACGAACTCTAACACAAAACTCTGCTAAGATGCTGCACCGCGTTTGCTTCATAGTTCTAGTTCTCATGCTACTTCACGCATTGGCCAGCACTGTGCGACATGCATCCAATGTTAAGTGCCCAAAATATGATGCATCACACAGTCTATATGCATAATCTTGCAAGGATTGCTCAGCTGAGCCCAAATCAGGCAAACATGCACGAGTGGCAGCTGACACGTTCTGTCGCGGCGATGCAGCTCCTTTCTCAGAAGACGTGTTCCGCGTAGCGCCTGAAGGTCCATGATGTCGATGTCTAGCTCCACGGTGTCTGCGGCCTCCTTCCATTCACCACTTCATACCCAAAATGATATAATACTTTGCACTCTCTTTTCCATTTCAAGACGTTCCTACGAAGACACGAGCAGACGAGTAGACTGGCCTTGGGCAGGGAGTTTGTTGCCAGCAGGTTGGGTATCCTTGCAGAAGCTTCAGAAGGTTTCATGTTTAAGGCAGTCATCGAAACAAGCTATACATGATATGCAATCAGGTCGCATGCAAACTTCTTGCATCTCAACCTCCTCCTCAGACGTCTCCTCCTCTTCAGATTCCTCCTGGAGGAGCGCAAGATGAGCAACTAGATTAGCATGGTCCAACCCTGATAGGGGACAACCACATGACCTTGCTGAGGCTTCCAGAGTGGGCAGACAGCTTTTTCTGAGAGCTTGCAGAGCTTCCCCTGCATCGAGTACCAGAGGGATATAGAGGGATGACGTATGCACCTTCGTAACCTAACTGATGCTACTGGATCCTGAGTTCAGGCTCAGGGCAGATGACATTCTCAACGAACAAATCGGTTGCAGGCACGCTCATCTGCAATGGTCGTGTCTGGCCCATGGCCCGAAATGACTCGCACATCGCCATCAAGCGTCAACAGCTTCGTCTTGATGCTACCAATAATCTGATTCGGGTCTGAGGTACCTTGGAGTGATGGGATCCCCGCCCAACTTGTTCTGCCAACAGAGCCTGAGAACAAGGTGTCGCCTGGGCAGACAAGCTTGTGCTGCTCGAAATAATACGACATAGACCCAGGTGTATGACCTGGGCAGTGCAAGCATTTGACTGTCAAGTCCGGTGCCCATTGCACCACGTCACCATCAGCGAGGAAGTCATCTGGTGGCAACAGTGGCTCCAGAGGTGGTGGCACACGAAAGTCACGGCACTGCTCCTGCTCAGCAACGTTCAACCCCTAGGAGCTTAAATAATTACCCATGTAGGGCTTAGGAATGGAGAAGCTATCAAGAAGGTAATCAAACTTATAGCCACTTACGGGGTATGCTGTATATCAGGGGCTAGATGCTACTGGGGACTCAAAACGAGACCATAGTTTTTAAAGCCTATCATCTAAATTCGGGCTACGAACCTTCATCATGCGATCTTCAGTTGGCCTTGACTCTCTCATAGAGGCTCAAGTCATTCTGGTTCATGAGAATGACAGCACCTGATCAATATGGACCCCATATTGTGGCCTTAAAAGAGACTACTGATTTCTGGACACGAAGCCGGATTGGCATACACGAACCTTTCCACCTCTACTCGGAAAAGACATGTTTGACTTCCCACCAGCTGACTCAACTAGCTGGCCGTTATACTGCACTGATACCTCTTACAAGCGGGGAAAATTTGGAGATTGCGCCTGTGAGCTTCTTCAGCTCCGTGGCGCCAATGATATGGTCCAAGTGCCCGTGTGTGATGAGAATGCGCTTACAGCTGAGGCCATGGAACTTCAGCCGGCTGACAATATGGTCCACATCCCCTCCAGGATCGACCACCAAAGCATCCTTGGATTCAGAGTCCCCGACAATGCTGCAGTTGCACTGCAGCGGCGGCACCGGGAAGATTTCTATGACAGGTGCCATTACCGAAGCGGGCTTGCTGTGATCCTTGCTGTAGCTGCGCAACAAGTGCACCTGAAAGATTCAGTGGCAAGCCTAATTACCGGGAAACTGGACACGTCCGACAAAACAGGTTTTAGAAGGTGGCCAGAAGCAGCAGTTGGGTTTTTTCAGTTGGCTTGTGGAGAGCTCAATCCACCACCAGAAGCGCAACACTCCTCAGCGGATGTTTACAAGACCCGTGTCCTCGACGTTCGCCACGCACGGTTTAGAGGGAGATGCATTCGCCGCCGTGTCCTGCTCAGAAGGCCAAGCATGCTTCCCATTTCAGAACTGGCAACCTGCTTGTCAGGAAGCGGCGCAAAGAGGGTTTCGGTACTTCGTGATGACAATTTGAACCTGCCTTGTCGGATGCCAGCTCTGCTGATTGCAGCCGACCTTCGGATCGGACGAACTTGATATCTGACACTGAAACTCGCACCAACCTACACAATCATCTTTCCTGGACCTTCACCACAAAAGCATTAATGTCTGAGCAACTAGCCCCCAGCTTGGGCCACGCGCTCTCTGACCTGAGAGGGACCAAAGATGAACATGGCCAATCACTGTCCACCAGTCAGCTCCATCAGCAGCTTAGCTCCCACAAGCTACATTGGAGCTCTCCGCACATGTCGTTGTAAGCAGGACGCGGGAGTGCTGCAAGTGATTCCCAGAACTCCCTGGAAGGTCAGAAGGGAGTAAGCTCTCGTGAAGAAAAGATCGGCCGACGCAGCACACAAAGTCCGACGGCGCCTTTCGCGCCGCGTTGGCTGACGCAAGAGCCAGTGCAGCTACCGAGGCAGCATCTTTGGGCTTGCCTGCAACAATGTTAGCAATCATATACTTACCATTATTGTTACCATGATTATTATTAGATGATACTTTTATTGCTATTATTACTAGTCAAGCTCTTAGGGCTAGGAGGTTGGAAGCAGAAGAGTGCAAATTGGAAAGGTTCTTGTGGCCAGCACGATGTACAGAACATCCTGGCATTGAAATTATGGCGTTGAGTTCTCTCTGGATGTTGAAGCAGGGTGAATGCCGGCCCAGTAGGCAATAAATCAGGAACCAGGTGTCAGCTGCTCGGACCCCAAAAACTCCGGCAAAGGCAGAGGTGCCTATCTTCGAATGAGGTGCTGGACCGCATCGACAAACTTACCGGTTCTTAGTAGGGAATAAAGGAATATATTTCCTATTCAGTCCCTGTATAATCTATATTCCCTTGTTCTCTACTAAGAACCAGTAGGCAAATGCCTGGCCTGAGGCAGGACTGGTCTTGTCATTCTCTGTGGCCCCTGCCTCCAAACACTGAACAGAGTTACTGCCTCTGCGTAGGGAATATGGAAATATGGAAAAGGAAAATGGAGGCTATTACATTATGAATTATGATAGGGTATACATATATATATATATGGAGATAAGGTAGGGTAAAGGAATACATTATATAGAGATTTTGTAGGGGTTATATTCCTGTATGCCCTACTGAGCGCCAGTAAGCAGAGTGGTTGCTAAGTTGCATCTGATGGACATCCCATGATGGCTCTCTTCAAAGAGGAAATATACGGCTATATAGCGTACATGGCCCCCCTCAGTGCGGAACCACAAGGAAAAGAACGTGGAAACCCTAAGCTCCCACACCCTAAACCCCAAACCCTGAGCCCTAAACCCTAAACCCTAAACCCTAAACCCTTACAGACCCACACCTTGCCTCTGCCCACACAGCTTCCAGCTCCTCTTCCAGGCTGCGGCTGTCGGTGGCAGACTCCTCAGCCCACTCTGCCTTGCAGCGGCCAGGCTGATACTGGCTCATCTTTTTTTAATTAGAGTAGTAGAAGTAATACTAACTGATAATGATAAGAAGAATGATGATAATCCTGATGCTACGAATCACAATAATACGAATAATTAATAGTAACAGTAATAGTAATAGTAATAGTTCAGGAATGATAACAATACACAGAAACAGCAATTGGCTGAAGAAGCAACAGACTGCTTCATCCGAGTTGCTGCTTCAGAGATGGCGCCAAGCGCGCCCTGAAGCCAAGTAGAAGCCGCAAAGCTTTGTAACATCTTGGAAAGATATGAGCTACAGTCTAAACTCCTGGTATCCCCGTTAGCAACTCCAATAATGCTCTTCTCTACAATCCTCATATAACCCCCTTTAAGGAGTTTGGACTGTAGTTCATATGAGCACGGCGCGTTCGACTTGGGCTTTCTGGAGAGGGCAGACTTTGGAACCTTGGGGCCAGCAATGGGTTTACATGAACTTTCAGCCTTGCATCCAGGGCCTGTTGTTCGGTTCGTCCTGCACGCTGATGCCTCCCGCTTTCAAGCTCACGCTCTCTCACTCTCAGCACTCCTTGACGGACACAACTTCATGACTCCTCGCTGTTCTGCCAATGCTCCGCTGCATGCCATGTGGCCAGCACTTCTTGCAGGATCCCACTATCGTTCAGACATCGCAGTGTCTTTCTGAGCGTCGCACCGTCTCGTTTCAAATATGAATGAGTGCTTGTGCTTGCAAACCGGGGAGTAAAGAGCTCGCTGAGCTTGGCGCAGGGCCTTCTTCACGGCTTGTAGATGGGTTTCAGAATTTGAGGCATCTTTCGTGGAGGGCCTGGATGCTGTGAAACCAGACTTCAGGCTGCAGATCAGCATGCTCTTCCCCACTACTTCGGAAAGCTGGATGAAGGCTAGAACAGACCAGGTTCCGGCAGCTCCCTTTTCGCCATCCATTCAGGTCAGCGCATGCATAATATGAATTGGGCTCCCTCCGAGCCGAGACTGCTTCAATCCTGAAGACAATCCCTATGCTCGAAGGGGGCTTAACATACATTTTGCACCAGCTCAATTTAACACTACTGCTCTGAGAAGTTTCCCTCGGGCAATCAGATGGAGACTGCTAGTGTCACATGCTCAGCGCTGAGGAAGGCAGCGGCTGTACACATAGGGCGCCTGTCAATGGAGGCTCAGACTCTGCTATGGGTGTCGTGCAACAATGCAACAGACATTGAAGAAATCCATGCAAGAGGTGCACCTGCGCCATTGGGACAGCATGAAACTTGGACCTGGCTGCAGTTGGCTCCGTCATTGTAAGCTTGAAACAGAATCTTGAGATCCCCACGACACCACCTGACAAGCTGCCTGAGCGGAACACTGCTATTGCTATACTTCAATACTGGACAACTTTGGGGTAAACTTGGAGCCACACGGGTGGAGTGGCTCCCTGGCCAAGTAATGCATGACAACAAATGCGAGGTAATGAAAAGGCTTTAAAAAGGTCGTTATTCTCGTTGCTGCTGCTGTTGTTGTTGGGTGCATCAAGTTACTACCTGCCTGCTGGCGCCGCGTGTCAAGCGAGTACAGTGTAGATTGAAGCCTGAGTGCAAACAATACATTGCAGCCCGGCGTGGCACCGATCTGTTGTGTAAGTTGCGGGCTTGGCTTGAGCAGATCCAGACTCCCTTTTGACTCCCCCGAAGTCATTCACCAGGCCTCAACCATACAAGGACCTTTTGAATACACATCTCGTTACCGCAGCGTGAGTTCGTGCATCTCAAGTGACCTAGCTTTCAGAGTACAATCGACTGAGGGGTGCGGATGCACGCAGTGCGGGTGCCTTGCAAGGACTCGCCAATGTTGACGACGTCTTGAACCATTTTTTGAAGCTGCACCTGAGCTATAGTCTAAACTCCTAGTATCCCCATAATAACCCCTATAGTAGTCCCCTATAGTAGTCCCCTATATAACCCCCCTTTAAGGAGTTTAGACTATGGCTCTGAGTCCAGCAATCGTTTGCTGACGGCTCCAAGATGCTTCGTACAGTACTTCCCATGGCCAGGATTCGAATAAGGGCTGGGCTTTCCGCTTTTCAAGCTGAGTGCGTAGATCCTCGCAGCCCCGCATTGCAAGAGACATCATGTCCGTGAATTCCCAGCTCTGGAGTCCTGCGATAGCTGATCTGTTTCACTTCTGAGCTGGTCCGACCGATCCATGACCTCGCATAGCTTCCAAGGTCATGCAAGCAAGGTGCTATGCACCAGATCAGCCAAGCCACTGTTCCCTGTAAGGACTCTGTCTTCTGGTTCAGGGAGGCCAGATCTTCCCGCATGCGCTCAGAAAACTGCTGCATTTCCTGCACAATCTGGCTCTTTGCTTCTCAGTATTCGAATTCCTGCTGCGGCCGTCCCTACGCCACCGGAATTCCTATCATTCTGAGTGCCTACTCTTCCGTCAACAGTTCTGCTACTGGTAAGGGATGTGGGGACCTCGCAAGTAACCAAATAAGGGCCATTTCAAAGAGCTTCCTTCATGAACACGATGTTGAAATGCGCTCTCAACGCTCAACCATGAGCTCTGTACATGCCTGAAAAAGTACGAGCAGTGCGCCAGGATAAGCGGTATGTGATGTAAACTCTTAGAACACATACATGACTTCACTATAAGGGACCCCCAAGCCCTACTCTCAATGATCAAGCCCCTACATTACATCCCCCCAGACGAAACACCTCAGAGTTTAGTCTTTAGGTTTGGGGTTTAAGGCTCAACAGTGGGCGTACCAGCAATCCATGGGCTTCAGGGTTTTGAGGGGATTGTGGATTTCTTGATTCGGAAGCATCTTGAGAGTTCCTGGAGAAAAACCCTTCAGCGCAACGTGGCCCTGTTCCATTCTGGCAAGAAGTTTTCTTGGTAAGATCCTTTTGGCATGAGATGCGTCGCTTTGCTTTCCTTGTTCAGCAACCACGAACTAGGCTTCCCACAATGCAACCACTCTTCAAGGGGACCTTCCTAATCTATATGGGTCTTGCTGGAGTTTGCAGATCTGCTTCCGCTGTGCAGCAGATGCCTTGCCTGGGCCGCCGCGCGAAGCTTGGACTGAGACTGATCTGCAGCCTAGCCCGGTGCAGAAGTGGTCATGGACAGTCAGCAAAGGACTATCTCTTCGTGGTGCTTGTTTTGCTTCATGACAAGCCACAGCGGTCTGTTCCTTCTCCACGCAAGACTTATTCAAAAGCTGGGCGTCTGGCATCTGCTAGCTGAGCAAAGGCTGTTTCATTCCGAACGGCCTGCTTTTCAACACAAGATCTGAGAAGCTGCCTCTCCGATGCCTCAACACTGTGGCTGCGCCTGCTCATTGAGCATCTGTATCTTCATTTTGAGATCCTGCGCGCGTGACACGCAGGCCACCAAGACTTGTGGAGAAGTGAACAAGTCCTGATCTGCGGCGGCATTATTTCGCACTGCTGCAGTGATCTCCATGAAAACAGAGCTCAATGACTCGCGAATCCTCATGGAGCTGCCAGAATCAAACTGAATCGGGGCTTTAATGATGTCAACCGCTTGTCCAGTGGCCCACCAGCTCAGCTGCTGACTCGTTGATCTCTGATTGCATCTGCTGCTGTATGGCCTTGGTACAGGTATGCACAACCAAGACAGAAAGCAATCGCCGAGTGATTTGAGGTACCCTTGGGCCACCAGGGACGGAAAGTGATTTTGCACGTAGCATGGGGAGTCCTAAGTAAGGGCTCATGACACTAGCGATAACAAAAACAACAATGCTTTAGTTTCCCTGGACCCCTGCTGGAAAGTGTAATTTCGGCTGGTGATTATTAGGATTAGACATGGCAAAATTTCAGATCTACCCTCTGAAAACTTCCAGAATAATACTGTAGGGCTCATTCTGCGAAGCTCCCGCATCGGGGCACACCAAAACCGACATCGCTGAGCCTGGGCTCCCCACCGCACCATGGCGCTTGAAGTCCGCCAAATCGCTGTGGTTGCCGTTGATGGCATTTTTAATCGTGTTGAGCTCAATCTGGCAGAAAAGGAAGTCTTTAGTTCTTGTAGGGCTGACAACGGTACCATCCTTCGAGGTTGACCACGGCCCTCCGAGTAAACGCAAGCGTTTGTAGTAGAGAATTGGGGACTCTAGGGATTCCTTTGGAAAGTATCAAGATCATGGACGATATGGACGCGAAGGGGTTGTCCATGGCGATGGATGTTTTGGAATCAGTGATTCGTGCAAGGCATCATATGTAACTTGTCAGGATTCTTATGATGTGATCCTCAAAAGCATACGCCTAAACTGCCTCGAAAACGATCAACAAAGCACCCATAAAGGAGATCCGCAATCGGTAGATACGCTCATCTGAAAAAGGATGAAGGGCAAAACAAACTAAACCTGATGCTATTCTGCTATTCCTGTATTTTCTACACTGAGCAGGCGAGAAGGAGTCTATAACTGGCCTCAGAGTTATTAGAGTTTGTCAAGGATTATAAGGTCAATGATTGGCGCATCAAAGCATCTCTAAGCATCCCTTGCAGAATTCTGTGGTTTCTAAACAATGGACTGCAGAGGTATTTCCAAAATGAAAGGGATCCCCTTTTTCCTGGAAATCCTGAACCCTCAACCCTAAACAGATGCACCGTTCTTTTGTTGGGAACCCTCTATCCAGAACATGACGACTTCCCAAAGCTGAGGATCCCGAAAATTCTGAAAATTCCTTGTGTATTCAATATGGGGGGTTTCCGAAAATTAGGGGTACGATTTTGGGGGTCCCCATAATAAGGATTATAGTATTTTGGGGTCTATATTCGGGTCCCCCTATGTACGGAAAGTACCATATAACCCTTATATAACCCTTATACAACCCTTATATGACCCTATAATCCCTGTAGCTTCCATTTTCTTTTCCATTATCCCTATAGGGTTATCTAGTTTCGGCACATACTGCACCTGGAGAGACTTCTGCGAGTTGGAGCTTTTGCTTTTCAGCTCCATGACCTGCGGCAGACGTTTGCGGTTCTTGGTATGAAGCCCTAAAGGATTATAGAGGTATTACTGCAATAATGGAGAATAAACTGGAAAAGAAATGGAAAATGAAATGGAAGCTACTATATACATAGTGTTATATAGGGATTCTAAATTAATGAAGACAAGAAGGCAGTTTTCGGCACCCATATGCAGCTTGGCACTACCAATTCCAGCGCTGCGCCCATTTCGGCACAGGATTCAAGTTTCGGACGCTTAGGCATGATAACTCTCAGTAGAGAAAGCCAAGCGCCAGGCCCACTGCGCGAAAGCCAGCACCGTCACGTCCACGTCTAGCATATTCTCTGCACCTTACAGAAGTGGGCCTGGATCTGTAGCAAGATCTATAAGGAACCTCGCTCCTGGGTTACCGCACTCATTGATGCCGGCCTCAGTCTCTGGTATTTACTCAGGTCGCTGGCGTTGCATCAACACTAGACTGCAGTTTGCCTGCGCAAGACGATCCCAGTGCTTCACGAGCTGCTGCCACAAATGAGGTCCCCACGGTGGCATTACTGGAGCTGCCTGGCCATCTATCCGCTCAGTCATATTGGCGTGTATATATCAATAACAAAAACCATAGACCCTAAACCCTACATAGAATTTCCCATTTTATTTTCCATTATCCCAGTACATCCCCAATATATCCCCTAATTTGTACAGGCAGCCTGCGGGACGGTTGCTGAAACGGGTGCTGGTTGTGTTCCAGGAGTGGCCCTCTCGTGCGGTAGGGGAGCTGCCTCGCCGCAGCGTGTGATGCTAACTCCATCAGGAGGCATGCTTGCAGCGCCTCGCTGGCTTCCGGTCGAGGGGCATGAGGCCTGAGTAGTTAATAGAACGGTCTCATTTCTGAACAGAATACCTGCTGGATGAGTGCAGTCAAGATGCTGAGCACGCCGATCGGATCTTTGCCGGCCCTTCCAAAACGAAGAATAACCCTGTACTTACTTGTCAGGCACTGCGGTTTGCTCGGTAAGCGCCTTTTATTCAACGCCAAAAGCGACAGGGTGTGGTATTCCCGGCATATCTCTTGTAGCGGGCAGCACCAGCTGAACTGTACTTACTTAATAAGATCTTCAACTGTAGAAAAATCCATGCTGAAGAAATGGTCTGGACAGCTGCCAAACTTTGGAGGCAACGTCCCCTTGACCATGGCCTTAGCACCTTGGTGCCGTTCCAGCCTGCAAAACTGAAGGGATGCCGCCTTTTAGATTTGAATTCGAGGGCGGCATGCCAAAAGAGATTATATAACTTCTTTACAGCTACATGCAAGATTTGGCTTCAGGCACAGTCACCCCAGCGCATTTTCGAGTTGCCTGTTCGGCGGTTTCCATGCACTTTAAGCACTCATCCCCACACCAGGACCCCCAAAAGCAAGGCCACTTGCAGTGGTCAGCTCCAAATTCTGCTGACGATAGGAAGCATCGAGCGCAAGGGAGGCTGATGTTAGTGCTGGAAGTCACACACGCCGTAAAGGTGGAGTTATCAAGGCCACTGAATACCTTGAAGCTTTTGCTTCCACACTCTGCGAGGTACTTTGGAAAAGTCCCACGGGAGTTTCCTCCACCGAGCTTGGACATCATCGTCTCGTCATCTGCACTGCAGCCAACGGACAGGGACACTTCATGCTGCTCGCTGCTCCGCGCGGCTCGCAGATATCTCGGCATGTCAGCCGCTCCTACCAAAGCATCAGCTGCGGTTGTCTGAATCCAGGAGGCCACCAGGGCAGAGCAAATAAGCTGAGTGACCATGGCCAACGCTGGTGCTTCTAGGCAGGCAAAGGGTGGCCTAGCCCTGTACTTGAACCCAAAGTGACAAGAGTGCAAGCAAACACTTAAAGCCTGAAGCCTCCCATGCAGGTATATGACTGCAAACCTCCCAAAAAAGATCTGGCCAAATTGTGAGAATTACCCATTTATCTAGGATTCTCAAGTCCAAGACTTTCCAATCTGGAGCCTGCATCAGCTTGCGCCAAGCCCGTCACAAGAAATTGACCTTGGAACATGTTAGAAGCGAATCGAGCACAGTATCCCCGTAAAAATTACTTAAATATACTACCACATTTGGGATATCTCCTTTTTTTGGAGGTGTAGCACTTGGACCTGAGGCGACTACACAAGGAGACAAGCAGGGAACCAAGTGCACTGTCACTGATGCCCTTGTTGTTGCACTGTTGCTTGCTTCTTCACGTGGAGGCTGTATACTTTCAGCCATGTCTGCCTCAGGTCTGAATACTGCAACAGATCTTTCAGCCACTCATGTTGGAACTTCCCCGTTGCTTGGGCCTAAGCTAAGGTGCGGCAGGAGGTTCAGGGAACCCACATCGTGCTGACACAGCTTCGGCAGCCTAAGAGCAACTTCGACCTCGCTCCTGTGTTTTGCTTGGAGACACTGCATGTGGGTGGTTGTCAAAATTATGGTCCTTTTTTGGATCCCTATCGCCTATCATAATACGGCACCTAATATTTAGGGGTACCCAAAACAGGGACCATAATTTTAACAGCCACCCATGTGCTGAAGTGGTGAAACATGTGAGACGCATGCAAGGACACCGATCAGATCAGGATCAGTAGATCCAGTATCGCACGCCGTAGGCAAACGACCGGGCAAGCGCATCATGTTTCGAGCAACTGGCAGGCAGGCAAGGTTGTTGATCGATTTGGGGCTGTACGACCTCTTCCGACCTGAAAGCGCTCGTCATGGTGACTTGGACTTAAAAGGAGCTGTTCTAGAGATGCCTCCACGCGAGGAAAGGTTCAGATTTCGGTTGAAGACATCTGTCAGAAGAGTTAAGAAACTGTTTGCCTCCTCTGCAATGGTCGGCGGGAAGCCGAAATTTGGCAGCATAAATTGCAGCAGACCTGCCCAGGGCGCACTAGATATCACTAGAAGCATGCTGAGATACCCTCTTCAGCATGACGACTGCCAACATGGTATCTGCACTGACATGCGCTTTCGTTGACGGTGCAGAATTCATTGCGGGTCTCCAACAATTAGGGATACCATTTTGGGGGTCCCACTCATAAGGACTATGATATATTGGGGTAAATCTCTTGGTCCCCCTATGTAGGGAAACTACCCATTGATCCTTTGGCTGCCTGCGTTGGCCAAGACAGGGTGGGCCCCACGACCGGGAGGACTCGGCGGGCTTGTGCTGTGAAGTGGCTTCCGCATTGCCGTCAAAATCATCTGCCTGGGAGTCTGAAGTTCAAACATCTAAATGGGAATTGTGATTATATGAGCTATAGTCTAAACTCCTAGTATCCCCCTTAATCACACCTAGAATAATACTCCCCCCATAGAATCCCCTATATAGCCGCCTTTTAGAAGCTCAGACTATAGCTCGTACAGGACTAGTACATGGATTATGCTCGGCAACTCCTATGGTTGGCAACCACTAAAATAAGGATTCTATGGGGGTTTTGTGGGGATTTCAAGCAAACTGAGACTCCGGGCTGGTGGTCAGGCTTCTTCTGCTTTGACCTGACCATAACTTGCGGGTTTAAAAAGATTTAGGGGTCCGTTTTGTTGGGCTCCCAAATCAAGATTATAGTCTATTGGCGTCTGCATTGGGGCCTCGTTCATGGAAACACCCATTTCTCAAAGGCTCTGACAGACTCTAGCAGGGCTACCACGTCGGAAGGCCATATCCCAGCCTGTCGCTGATGGCCACATATGGCCGAAGCCTGCCCTCAGGCTCCTTGAATCTGACATCATGTCGAAAGCTTCCCAGCATCCACCTCCCCCCCCCAAAAAAAAAAGCCAAGGATCATCACCGATCCGGTGGGCAGGCACTGCAACTCGAGGATCGTCAGGCTCCTCAAGGCAGTCTGTGCCAACACTCTAGTCACCTGCACGTCATTGCCAGCATCCTCGGCAAATTGGAAGCTGTTCAGCTCATCCTCCTTCGAGGGCGCCTTTCACATGTTGGTTGTAGCATTGCATCTGCCTGTCCAACACACTAAAATGGCTGCGGCACCGCTCGATTGTGTTCTTTGGAGCGCATTCCCCGAGAGTTCTGTTGGCCTGCAAGCAGGATCACTGGCCACACATGCCACACCCATAATTCTCCGAATGCAAGGTGCAAGGCATCGGCCCGCCTATGTACATCTGCGCCTGAGGTAACATGCACATCACAAGCCTTGAGTCTCAAAGCGCATGTTGCCTTTTGCTTGAGCTCCAAGCAAGCCGCTTAGCATCCGAAACTCCGAATTGCCGTGCCGGCCTCGTGCTGTATTGCAAGCTCATGTGACAGAATAATCTGGATGCCGTCAGCAGTCGTCCTTTCATGGAATAAGGCTGGTCACCCATTCTGAGACGAGAGCAATGTTTGAGCGAAGTTGTTTGCCATGAGACCTGCAAACGGTAGCACAAGTGATTTCTGTGGAGCGAAAGTCTCCTCAGCTATGGGGGCGCACCTCGCGGTCTTGCACGCACGTTGCTTTCAGCTGCCCTGTCAGGCCTTGCGATTTTCGCAGGAGCTTGACCAGGTGTTCTTCTCTTAGGACTTACAAGCTCTCCACGGCTTTTGGTGACCTCCTCATCACAGAGAGCGCGCTGCAATCCTGATCAGCAATCACCAGCACCAAATAGATCAACATTCCAGACGTCCGCCTTCTTCGGCGCTTGGAAAGGTCGCAACGACAGGCCGGCCGTGGCCTGCTAGATTGATCGTTGGAAAAGGCTCCAGGCGCAAACGCAAGTGCGTGCGCCTGTCTTTCCTGGATGATGTGCTCCGGATTCACCGGCTTGTGGAAAGGTGTGCCTGCAAGCAAAGCTGCAACCTTACAGGTTTTGCAGGGAGCTGTGCTTGGATCTCCAAAGCTCAAGTTTTTCCAAGAGTGGGCTTGAAGGCTGCTACTGTGCCCTCTGTCATTATTCGTTGCGAGGGCTAGCAGACAGGATACCTGCGGCCTGAAGCACAATTCACTTGAAGACTCCTTCCTTGATGTTCGAACAACCCTTTCACCAATTGCAAGAGCAGTGCAGCAAGCGGCACGATGGTGCCACAGCCGCTTTTGACCCACAATTGCAGGAAACAAGTGCACAGAGCTACTGAAAAAGTCTGCTGACACGTGCTGAAGAGGGTTTCGTGACCCACTAAAGAGGATTTGGAGATTAAAGAATCCACGAGGCCGGTTACATTTCTCGGATACCTGTCAGTCACGTGGAACAACCACCTAGCAATCTGCAAGTGACTGCAGATTGGAAGCTAACTAAAGCCCTAAACCCTATACTCCCTTCTCCAGGCTATCTTACTAGCTAGTGCCTTGTTCCATAATCTCGTCTTGCCCTGGGCCAACCCATTTCGAGCTCAATGGCAAATAGAGAATCATGCCACTAAGGCTGTCTAGGGTGTAAGGGTTGAAGGGTTTAGGGTCCTGCCGACTGCCGCACGACTGGTCACTGGAATCATGACTTCCTTGCCTCCTTTGTCGATGCCGGGGTGATTCAGGAATGGTCTGAGCCTCACGAGCTGATCCCTTCTCATCCCATCCCCCAAATCTTAAACCAAATATCTTAAAATGCCAATATTCCCCCAGCTTCCATGTTATCTTCAATGTTCTTTTCGATTTGATTCTCCCTTGCAGGGGGAAAATATACCCTGGATCTTCGACCATATGAGTGCTGGGACTCGGAAGCTTGAGCGTAGGGGCATGTTGAATAATTAGTTGCAAGCGGGGCTCCAAGGAATGCTCCCTAAGCTTGAAGAGTGCTTGCATGCTTCCACTGCACCTTCTGAGAGCTGAGCGATGAGGTTTGAAACACGAAGTCCGCTGCTGTACAAGCTGATGAGGCGTCAACGAATGCCGCCATGGTTTGGGTTTTGTTGGTTTTTTTCACTGCCGCTGGCTAGTTGTTTTGAAGTAGCAAAAAGCCATGTTAAAAAATCTCATAGCGTTCTAGTCATAGGTGAAACTGATCGCGTTCGCAGATTCGCAGTCTGCAGTCCTCCAATAATTGGAATAGAGGTGGCTACAAGCCGCACTGGGCAGGACTGCAACAAACGTTAGCAGCTGTGTTTACTAGGGTTGGCCGCCCACCGGAGGTGGTCTTGAATTGCAAAATGCCATATAGATAAATATCATACATACAGAGCGGCAAAAATGATAACTGAACTTTAAGCGGCTGTAAGAGGCAACAAATGCCAGCGGGCAAACAAATCGGAGCGCATCCAACCATACGATCCTCATCCTCCATAGAGCTGCTTCGAATGACTCAAGAACTGCAATCCCTCTTTGGCGTCAACTGTCGCTGACATGTTGCTGGGCAATGTTGAACATGGCATTCGCCATGGGCACGGTTTGACTTCCTTCTGCACAAAAAACTTGGCCTTGGCATTATGCCAAGACAGTGCTCCCAGTAAAACCAAAACTGCAGGGAGTTCCATGGCATCGCGGGGCACAAAGGCGGTCTTGAACAGGTTCTGCTTCGAGCGCTTAACTTGACAGGGCGGACTTGAACGGATGTTTTGCGAAGCTTTGGAGCTCCCTGCAGTTTTCCCTGCGAGCACATGTTTCGTGTGGATTCAATATCCGAATTTTGCCATGCAGTGCAGGCCGCCGGCAACTTGTATCAAAATTCTAAAACTCGCGGGAAAACTGAGAAGCCATGACGGACATCTAGGATCTTGGTGAGGCAGATGCTTCACGATCAGGCGACAGCATCCAGTCCTCCTTCCTGGTGGTGCCGCTCATGGCGTCCAGCCGCTGTTGCCTTGAAAGGACTTAGATGGACTTAGCGCCTGCTGTAGGCATGATAACTGGAAGTTTTTCGAATCCCTAGAGAAGGCGAATTGCCTGACTATGAGAAGACGAGGGCGGGGCAGGCTCCGCAAATTTTGCAAAGCAGTCAAGTGCCCATTTCGGGATCGAATCTGGCAGGCGCGCAGATCAAGGGACCGGAAAGCAGCAGTTACAAAATGCATGGCCTTGTCAAGGTGCGCAGCTAGTTCAGTGGCCTGGGAAGTTGCAATTCAGATTATTTATGCGCAATGGCACAGGATTTGGTTCCATGCTTTCAAGATAAGACCTGCGCTGCGGAAACCGGGTCGCAGGTGCACCCGCCTGGTGTTGCTGACTCCTCAGCCTTGCGCACCTTAGACGCGTACCAAGTGACCCGCAGGTGCCAATGAGTACAGCAATGGCATAAGTCGGCAGCAAGGGCTTCCAGCACTTTGATCAACGGTAGCACGGCGAGCTTTCTGGAGTCATTGAGCTTGCAAAGGACCTGAGTGGCATCAAGTCAGGCAAGAACATTGCTGCATTCCTTTGCATTCCTGTCGATAATCAGCGAAGTTGCTTTGTTGTAATGTCAGATTCTCAGGCCCCAGCTCGAACAAGCCCAAGTGTGTCCTAAGGGCGTCCAGGCGAGTCTTCCCAACTGCGTCAACTTGAAGGATGTTCAAGAAGAGGCCGCAAAGCTCTCGCTGTGTTAAGGCCAAGGCGTGTGGACAAATCCAAACCCCGATCAAATTTTCGGGTGAGGGATCTTCTTCAAAGAGGTTCTGACCTCAGGTGGCTTAAGGCAAAGCTGACACGCAATCTTAATCCTGTACCCGATCCCTTGACCTCTGCTATTTCTATTCAAGCCCTCGTCAAACGTTTCAAATACCAATGCCGTCTATTCTTTCGACGCCCCCGGAACTGGAGGCGTGTAGGGTGCTCTCTGCTATGCAGAGTCAATTACGACTCATTTTTGCTGGACATCTATCAAGCAGAACTTCATAAGAGTCTTTCTGCTGTCGTAGCCAGCACATGGAAGCTCATGACCTTCATAGGCTCAAGTGAGCACCAAGGTTTGGAGAAGAAATGCTGTCAAAAGATGATCTGGCAGAACAACATCCTCCGTAGCTTTAAATAAGAAATTCCAGGAGGCCTCCAGTTGCCAGTAGCCGACATCCGGCGTTTGCTGCATTACACACTATGTACTATAGTCTAAACTCAAAGTATCTCCCTTTAGACCCCCCTTGATACTCCCATATATAATCCCCTCTATAACCCCCTTGAAGGGGTTTTCGACTATAGCTCATACTGACTCATACTCGAAACTCCTATCACTAGAGATTTCCTCTTTGAGGGCTGTTGTTAGCCCTCCCTTTCCCTCAGCCCCTTAGGGCTGCCACAGTAGTCGACCGTTGCGCGAACCTGGAGAGGGAAACAGCCTGCTGCAATGGCTGGACAGCGCCGTCCAAGGTCCCGGCACATTCATCTCGAAGGCCTTCAGCCCTGAGGGCGCCCCACAACTCAGTCCACATGCTGACCCACCTTAGTAACTGGAGCAGGACCCAGGCCCCCACTATACTAAGGCATGAAAGGCATAATCTTTAATCGCTTGTGGCTACATGACAGGCTCTGCAAGCATCGAACTCGCTGCAGTGCTCGTAATCGGCTAAAGCCTTGCTGACACAGGCTCGGTGATTCAACGTTGTCATTCCAACTGACACATCCACATCTTGGGCTGTGGCTTTCTGTACAAGGCAGTGCGCCAATGTTTGGGGATAGGTGTTCTCTTGCCTGCACTTGGAGTTTTGGGCTTGTCCCCTACTACAACCAGGCTCAACTGGAGCGCGAGACCAATGAAGGAGTCGGGCCCTTGCTCTAAGGTTGAAACCATGGGCCCCTAGTATGGGCCCTTAACCCTGAAATCCTTATATACCTACTACAAGTGATGTACCTAATATGTACCCTTAAGGGTCCCTAGAATCCCCCCTGAAAGGGCTACTAGGGCCATACTAGGGGCTCTATATATACCCCTATATATGTATATATATATGTATATATATATATTCTCTATCTCTATATATATACATACATACATTACCCCGGTGTATACCCGTGTATAACCCCCTACTAGGGGCCCATACTTCTAAGCTTAGACTTGCCTGAGTTCGAGGATGCTGTCAATTATCGATGTTGCATCCTGTGCTGCAAGGACTTCCTGGTTCTCGGGTTTAGGGGTTTAGGGGTTTAGGGTTTAGGGGTTTAGGGGTTTAGGGTTTCGGGTTTAGGGTTTAGGGTTTAGGGTCCTGGTTCTCAAGGGTATAAGGGAATGTACGATATAGGGAGGATATAGGGATTATATTGGGATTATATAGGAATTATATAGGGATTATTGTGGGATTGTATAGGGATGATGTAGGGATTATACAAGGATTATACAGGGATAAAAGGGATTATATAGGGATTGTACTTACAGTATGTGGGAATTATGAAGAGCCGGGAACGGAGGGAAGCAGGAACTGGCCAGAAACAATGGGAGCCGCTACAGTACTGGAGATTATGTAGGGCCTGCTATCGGGATCCATTCCTCCATTCCATACTAGCCATGAGTAAGAAGATGGAGGCAGCATGCAGCAGCCCAAGAAGACAAGAAAGGGAACAGTCCTCGGCACTGCAATCACGAAGTATCAACTGCAGCCTCCCCAGTTTGAAAGAAATGGGCGTGGCTCGACGCTAAACGGCCATGGTGTTGGTGTTGGCCACTCATTTATTATGAAGCGGCAGCTGATAATGATGCCACATAGCTATGGCTCTCAAGACAAGCTAGCTTTCATGGGAAACTGTCAGCTGGTAACACATCAGATCAACTTAACCAGCCTGGCAAGCAGGCTCGCTTGTCGAGCCGGATAGCTACCCATAGCTTTGGAGACAAATACGCAGAGGCTTTGCTCCTGCAAACAACGCATGTCTACAGGCTGCAGGAAGGGCTTGACCTGCACGGTCCTGTGTCAAACGATTTTGCCTGCCAACAGCTGGCAAGGAACATGCTCATCCGCAGCATGCGCTGCGGCATGTAGACCCCTCGTAGATAAGTAGCGGCAGGCTGCGTGCTGTAGACTCGCACTTGACTCACAGTTCATTTCAGAAGAAGGCTAAGGCTGCGACAAAACGACTTTTTCTGCAAAAAACCTGCAATCCATAACTGGGCAACTGCTCTCCAAACGATTCTTCAGATACCGGGCCTTATGTCCAGTAGAGGGAAGTGAATGACGTCAGATTCAGCGATTTTCTGCCACACTGCTGCCGGATCCTGCACTGCAATAGCCCTGTAAAACCGCTTTAAGATGTGCTTGTATCGCCCTACACCCTAAACCCTCAAACCTCTATAATGGATCCTCATACTACCCTAAACCTTAAACCCCTACACTATGTCCTTATAATTCCTTATACAAACCCTAAACATCCCTAAACCCTAGAGAAAAATTGAGGCCGTCGGCCTACATAAGCGCAGACTTACACGCAGAATGCATGTCTTTCAGTTCCACAAATGATTTCAATGTAGACATCATTGTGAAGCCCATGGGTTTCTTTTCATGTACCACCAGTATACTTGAAGCCGCGTCAGGGGCCAAATGACCTATTTGCTGAAACCTACGTGCATGGTAGATGGACGCACGGAGGCAAATGGGTCACCGTTCAACAATATGGGAATCTTTGGCTTGCAATGGATAAGTGCATGGAGCAACATGGGTCACCCTCCGCAATCAAGGCATATGTATGACCTTCGACAGCTTGCGAATCTTCAGTTTTGTCAGGAATTGGTGCATTGAGGCACACGGGTACCTCCTTTCAATCAAGGCACATATGTGTCCTTGAGGGGGTTGTGAATTCTTGGCTTGTCATGGATAGGTGCGTAGAAGCACATGGGACACCGTTCTCACTCAAGGCACTTAAATGGGGGATTGTCAAAATTAT